AGCCATCTCGTACAAACGCCCCAAATCCCTTCGGGATTCAAGGATAACAATTCCCGCGCGCTCGTAGTCTCCTGGGTGTTCTGTTTCACACAGGTTTTGTATAAATAGGCCTGTTTTGGCCTGTTTAATTGTCTTTTCGTTAAACGTTCGCCAGTCGTTAGCTTGGCGTTCTTTTTCTCTTGCCCGGTCATCGCTGCGCCATCTTCGAAGATTCTCTTCGTTCTTCGTTCTCCATGTCGAACCAAGTCCCTGTTGTTCCTGCGGATGGGGCTGTTATAGCGGCCGTTGACCCTCCAGTTGTCGCGCCTCCGGCTCCAGCCGACGCTGCCGGTGACAACAACGCACAGAACGCTAACGACAACGTGGTTCCTGCGCCCCATCCTGCGGCTCTGGTAGTTGGTGTTTTTCTCTTGTCCTTGTATTTGTTTCCTCGGCGTGTTTTTCGGGCTAGGTGTTGTTGGTCTTTTAGCTTGGTTCTCGCTTCTGTGTTATTAGTTTTAGTGTACGCGTTTGTGCTACTAGTTTAGTTTTCGCATCTGTGTACAAGTTTACAGTTTTCGCGTCTGGGTTACTATTTAATTTTCGCGTCTGTGTTACAAATTTAGTTTTCGCGTCTGTGTACAACTTTAGTTTTCCGTCTGTGTGGCAAGTTTAGTTTTCGCGTCTGTGTGACAACTTAAGTTTTCCGTCTGTGCGACAAGTCTGTGTGACATATTTAATTTTCGCGTCTGTGTGACAAATTTAGTTTTCCGTCTGTGTGACAAGTCTGTGTGACAAATTTAGTTTTCGCGTCTGTGTGACAAGTTTAGTTTTTGCGTCTGTGTGACAACTTAAGTTTTCCGTCTGTGCTACAAGTCTGTGTGACATATTTAATTTTCGCGTCTGTGTGACAAATTTAGTTTTCGCGTCTGTGTGACAAACTTAGTTCTCTCGTCTGTGTCAGATTTAGTTTTCTCGTCTGTGTGACGAATTTAGTTTTTGCGTCTGTGTGACAACTTAAGTTTTCCGTCTGTGTGACATATTTAATTTTCGCGTCTGCGTGACAAATTTAGTTTTTGCGTCTGTGTGACAACTTAAGTTTTTCGTCTGTGCGACAAGTCTGTGTGACATATTTAATTTTCGCGTCTGTGTGACAAATTTAGTTTTTGCGTCTGTGTGACAACTTAAGTTTTCCGTCTGTGCGCTAAGTCTGTGTGACATATTTAATTTTCGCGTCTGTGTGACAAATTTAGTTTTCCGTCTGTGTGACAAGTCTGTGTGACGAATTTAGTTTTCGCGTCTGTGTGACATATTTAATTTTCGCGTCTGTGTGACAAATTTAGTTTTCTGTCTGTGTGACAAATTTAGTTTTCTCGTCTGTGTGACAAGTTTAGTTTTCCGTCTGGCTGACAAGTCTGTGTGACATGTTTAATTTTCGCGTCTGTGTGACAAATTTAGTTTTCGCGTCTGTGTGACAAGTTTGGTTTTCCGTCTGTGTTACAAGTTTGGGTTTCGCGTCTGTGTACAAAATTTTGTTCTCTCCTCTGTGTTACAAACTTAGTTTTCTCGTCTGTGTGTCAGATTTAGTTTTCTCGTCTGTGTGACGAATTTAGTTTTCTCGTCTGTGTGACAAATGTTATGCATCCGGCTGTGTGCCGAGGTCCTATCAGGGTCTGTGTGACCAATTTACTTTTCATTTCCGCGTGATTTATGATCGGTACTCTCTCTTAAGATTTGATTTACGTGACGAGGGACGTGACGTGACGAGTCTGTGTGACAAGTCTGTGTGACAGATTTATGAACACGTCCTTGTGGCGGTTTTGTCCTGTCGGGGTCTGTACGACCATTTTCCTTTCCATTCTGGCGTGTTTATGACTCATATTCTTCTTGGCACTCCGTATGGAGATTTGATTTGTGTCTGCATGTGTTACGATTCCTTGTACTCTGTGATCTGTGATCGATTTTTTACTCTGTGATCTGCGGCTATGTAACATTATGAATGCATCATTGGTCATCACGTTATAGTGCCTTGTGCTTGGTCGAGTTGTTAGCAAATGGTCCGTGTCACTTGTTCCTCGGGTTATCCTTCCTTAAGTCAACCGCTGGTATGCCTACGATGGGGTTTTCTTATACCCTTGATTGCTCTGTCCCTGGACGGGGTATTTCGGGGCTGCTTCGCGGTTGACTTTTCCCTTTCCTACCATTTCGTTGGTTAGTTTTGCTCTTTAGTTTTTTCATTTGTAAGCCTCGCCCTGTTACAACGCTCATTACGTTTTCCTCCCAGTTCAGATATCGCTTTATACTATCCGATGGTGCAATCGGGAAGGGGAAAGGTCTCGCGTTGCAGTCCCTCTCACTTCACCTTCCATAGCGATCACGATGAATTTACGATCTTTACGCCAGTTTTCCCGTGAGGTTATTTTACTTGTCTCTCCGTTTTTTAGTATCGTGCTAGGACTGTCATGAGTTGTCAATAATAAACCTTTTCTTCTGAGTTTTGGGGAGAGTTACGTGTTTCTGGTTTATTGTGGTAGTTTGCCCTAGCTTTCGGGAGTAGCAGCCGTAGGGCTCGCTTCTTCCCATATCTTATCCTTGCCTGGGGCGTTTGGGAGTGAGGGCTCCCAGTGAGAATATATTACTATTCTCACTGGGGCCATCTCGTACAAACGCCCCAAATCCCTTCGGGATTCAAGGATAACAATTCCCGCGCGCTCGTAGTCTCATGGGTGTTCTGTTTCACACAGGTTTTGTATAAATAGGCCTGTTTTGGCCTGTTTAATTGTCTTTTCGTTAAACGTTCGCCAGTCGTTAGCTTGGCGTCCCTCCCTCCTCCCCGCAGCGATGACCATTGTTGTCATCCTAGCTAGCTCCCGCTCCTTTTTCGCCTCCGGGCTCGCTTCTTCCCATATCTTATCCTTGCCTGGGGCGTTTGGGAGTGAGGGCTCCCAGTGAGAATATATTACTATTTGAGGCCAAAAATGTCTTTTTATACTGACCCGTTTTCAGACCTGGCCTTTAGGTGGAAATGATGTGATTATTACTTAGATCAGAGCGCAGACAAAAGATTTCTTCAAATGCATGGAATTCGAATATTTCTATTTCGTTCTTATTCATTTGGAACTGAAACGAAACCATACCCGATATCAGACCAAAATGAGTAAAATCGATACCCGTTTTCGGACCAAAAAGGTCCAAGGAGTATCACCAATGTCTCGTCACACTGCAGTGAGCAATTTATTAAATGCTAAATAAAAATGAGAGACAGTTCTTTGGATAGTGGGTGTCACGCAATTCTCCTAGAATGTCAATTTGGGATCGGGAGGGGCTACTTCCGGCAGTGGTAAGGGCGTATGCGGAATGAGCAACACATGTGCAGGATCATTATCTCTTGGCAGGATATAAGAATTATTCTTGCAACTGTCCAGAACAGCCCAAGCTTTGCTAAGCGAGCTTTTTTTCAAGAGAGAAAATCTCATAGCATTGCGCCAAAAAAGTTCTTTTTGGAAATTTAAATTAAAATCCACTGCCCAGCATAACATATCGAGGCTCAACTGCGCGTTTGTTTGTTTAATGTCTTTAATTTCAATGAGACTGGCCCGTCGTACAAACTTTCACTGGCTGTAACTAGTCACTTATAAATATGCTACTAATGTAATAATAAATGATAAATGTTTTTCGCATTCCCGTTAGCCAAGAACTTAAACTAATAATCAAGTTGTAAAATAGTGCATATGCGTCAAGAAATTCTAACAAGTTAAAATAACTAGCGAAGAGCTAGATTTGTTTTTCAAAAAACAGGTACTAAATACGCGAATGACGTTCATCTTCCTCGAAAGCAATCTTCGAAGTTCTGTGAGTTTCCAAGGACCATCTTATTATAACTCTTAGGAAATGAGAAAGATTCTCCTTCTCACTCCCCATTCAAAAACACGCTTCGCAAACATTCCTCTGAGAATTATTTGTTAAAAACTCTGTAATTAGTCATTTTTTCTTCCCAGTGTCTCTTTATATAGGTTATACGTTTATTGCTTTCTATCATACATATTTATGTTAGTTATTTACCTTTTAATCAATGTCATTTAATTTACTCAGTATACACTCAATTCTGACATTGTAAACGGATACTTTTTTATACTTTGAGTGAGCCCAATATCTATAAGCCTTATGGTTTCTTTTTGGGCTTCCTCACTGCGTTGCTTCTGCGTATTCCTGTAGTCTTGTCCTTTATTCATTGTGGTAAAATAAACTGAAGCTTAGAAACACTATTGTGCCAGCCTAGCACTTTCGGGAACACACTGCGACATGACTTCAACTCCTGGAGAACATCTTTAAAAAATCCATTCCGATCATCTCTTTGTCTTAACTTACATTTGACTTTAAGGTGCCATTTATGCGGAGAAAAGCTGTCGCGGGAAAGAGGGTAACCTTCCCAGCCGAGACAACGGTTAGCGAGCGTTTATATGAGAAAAATGTTGACCCCTTTGCCAACCTTTTGCCCGAGCCAACGGCATTCGCGCATGCTCTGATTGTCTGAAACAGCACTCGAACTGTGATTGTCTCACCTTGACCAAGTTGATCCGGCTGGGCGAGCCAAAGTTATTGTGTGCAAAAAAGTTGGCCCGACTAGGAAGGTGACCCTACCATCCAAAAAGGGTTACCTGGCTAGGCGGGTCACCCTAATAGCCAATCCAACTTTTTGTTTTTCGTGTGAACAGTTTGGCAAGTTCAATAAGGAGATATAGCAAACGTTTGCAGGGTAGGTCAATTGATTGTCCATACGAAAATGATACACAAAATACAATTACAGTCAACTCCCTCTAAGACGGACACCTTTGGGACCGGGGCAGTAAGTGTCCGTCTTAGAGAGATGTCCATCTTATAGAGAGTCAAATAAAGAGAGTAACGAAAGGCAGGGACCAACTCTTGGTGTCCGTTTTAGGGAGGTGTCCGTCTTATAGAGGTGTCCGTTAAGAGAGAGTCGACTGTAGTTGATTTTTATTATCTGAGTGCAGTTTGCCTTATCAAGCGATACCATAACATTTTAATTTCCCCAGAATATGGTAACCTTGTTCTTTTGTACCTCCAGTGTCTCCAAACCTGAGCTGCTTGACCGGAAGCTTTGTTTTGTTAGTGAGGAAACCACTGTCTTCACGCCACTCGTTGTCATTGTTATCGCAATTACAACCAAGGTTGGAGTTTGCACATGTCTTGTTCATTCCACAGGGGCATTTGCCATTTTCAGTTGCTCCGCCCCAGTACGTCATCTTATCGCCATCACGTGACACCCACCATCCGAATGGACGTTTTTTATCGGAATTCAGTAACTTTGAAAGATAACACTCATACTTGATAAACTGCTCACAGCGCAGGGAGACTGTGGTGAGACTCGCTAGCTGAGACAGACTCGCTCCTGTGTAATGAATGTCACGCGAGTAGTTACCTTTACGTTCGTATCCTTTCACCAAGGTTCTGTTCTCGCTGTCGTGACTGATGACTGCCACGCCAACTCCATTTTTGTCGGTCATGTCACAGATGACGTCATACATAGGAAGCAAGCCACCTTCTCCATCAGGGTCAATGACGTAGCTTCCACTTTCTGCTCCAGGCTTAATTTTCTTCAGGTTACTGCATGATTTGGCTAAATACAGTGATTGAAAATAACCAGGATTAGTTATAAATCAAAACTCTTGGCAATCTCCCCAGGACCTAGTAACTCTCATAAGTATTGAAAAGAAGGTATAGACTATCCATTATCCTCTCTTGGTACTTATTATAAGTAGTATACTTAGTATAAGTATTTTAAGTGTGCCACAAAACCAACAAATTTTTAAAAAATATTCTACTTTTTTTACTTGACTTGACATTTCATTCTTTAATTGCACTCATCTTTATGACGGTCTTGGTGTGGGTGTAAAGACATACCTCTAGCTCTGAGCATACCTGAGCCTAGATGATTTAAATGGTCAAATTTGTAGGAAAATGGGCCTACCTGCAAAGCAGTTTGCTCTAGCGAATCGCGAAAGAAATATACAGCGATTCAGACATCTGACAAGCCGTTTAGTCTACCATTTAAGATGTAGCCGTACTTAGCCGGTCGCAAAGATTCCCAGTGAATCCTATTAAACATTTAGAGCGAAGCCTTTACTTTTGAATTCAGCTTGGCACGTGCCATTGTTCACCAAACGTGCTTTTTAATTTGTCATAATCTAGACGACAAAAATGCCTCGTCCTACCTCTTACTATCCTCGCTGGGCCCTAATGCTGATTTTTTCATCTTTGTATCGACAATTGTTGCATGCACGTACCTGCACGGCAGTTTGTTCCAGAGAATCCCGGAAGACATTTACAACGAAACCCTTTACTTGTGAATCCAGCTTGACATGTACCGTTGTTTAGACATGAACTACTGCTACAGGGATTCTGGAATAAGGAGCAACAACCATAAACAATTACATGCTACAACCACCATGCTTGAGAGAATGAGAGTACATGACGTGAACTCTTCATGAGTTCCTTACTGTCCGGCATTGTGGTTTTGTACCAAAGGGCCAACAAGAGTTAACAGAGTATGTGAGTTTGTCTCCGCGAAATGGGGTTAACCGTGTGTGTTTTACGCAAATTTTTTATCTTGTAATTTTAGCGACCATTTTTAGCTTAAGTAATGATCCGGGTAAGGTGGATAGCAATTTCTTTTGTTATGCGGCAACGGTGCTTTCCCCACATAGAAATGCTCTCATTTTTACACATAATATGCATAAACCTACCTTAAGGCCGTTTACGCAATAAAATGCATTTACACTCCACTTTGAAAGGGTGTATTTTTGTGTCAAAAGATTTTGACCAATCACAAGAGTTGAAAACAAAAGCCAAGAAAAGGATTTCTTTGTTATTCAAACTGAGACCAGATTTTGTTATATGGAAGATGGTTGGAAAGCAAGGATGAATATATGTACCGCTTTATGAAGTTTTGTTAACTTTTGCTATTTAAGCCAATCAGAAGTAAGTACAGACAATAGAAAAGTTAGCACCTTTTTTGCATTCCAACATGTTCGTTGCCGTTGTTTAATTACTGTCGTTCTTATCTGGACCGTTTCTTAATTATTTACCCTGTTTTTGCATGTTATCTACTCTATAATATTCTATTATATTGTAATTTTTAAGCTATGTTAATTACGTTCACACTATTAAACCGGATAACTTTTGTGCCAGCGCGAAAACCTTACCGGATAGGGTTTCTGTTCACACACAAGAACGCTGATTTCCGTAGAAAGTAACGAAAGGGGTACCTTTTCTGCCAAAAATGTTATGTAGAAGGGTAAGGGGTTGGACCACGGGGCGGAGCCTCCCGTTTAAAACTTTGTTGAGCAACCCACGGCGGCCGCTAGCATTCCTGGCTCTTCCACTCTGGGTAAGAAAACTAAATATTATATGTAGCTAGAAAGAGTTTTAAACAAAGACACTTACCTCGATGGCCAGATAAGTGTGGGTATCTTTGGTTCTTAGATCAAACACAAATTCGTTTTCTGCAGTAGCGTTATTCAATTCGCATTTGATCTTTCCTCCTGTCAATGGTCCCATATTTATGGACACACAGTTGGGCTCCATATAACACTTCACTCGACAGCTCCCTTCATTGGGGACACTTTCTCTTCTGATCACGTGACCTGTCATGACTTTGTTTGGTATAGGTTCTTTAAACACAATTATACGGGCCTCCTCAACTGTTTGAAAGCTTAACCCTGCCTCTTGTGGATATAAATATTATCATTAATATTGATAAGCATCCTTTTTTTTGAGAGCTTCGAGAATTACTGGGACAGAAATAATAAAGTTTAACGCATTTCAAAATCTCTCACTTTCAAAAGGAGGCTTAGCGCAAAACCTTTCTTGTGTAAGCTGCAGGGGCGTTACTTTCTTTAAGCAAATGATTTGGGAAAAAGGAATGGCTATGCTGTAATTGTTTATAGATCAGCGTAGACTTGGCTTGCTGCTATGTCGTCAAGAAGAAAAAATTAGTAGAAACTTTCCCGATGTTG